TCATCGACGTCCTTGATACATGCATACTGTTGAGTAGTAGGAGATGAGAGTAAATTAGTAGATATGAACTCCAAAAAACTTACTATTTAGTGATCGGTCACATGTGCGGTGGAGCGCACGATGTTAGGTCATCCCTCCCCCTTTTTTTCCCTTTCTTGTCACCGCGCATACACAAAGTTTATGTATCTAAAGTTAAAATTTATGTAATTAAGTTTATACACCTAAAATTATATGCCCAATTCAAGTTTAGATATGGATTCGGATTCAAATGTTATATACAAAATGTTGCTATATTAAAAGTTTCTACACATATACTTATATGCACAGAGTTTATACACATGCCTATTTTTAAATAGAATCATTTTCCCTTTATTTGTATTTTTGTTTTCTTTCAAACATTTTTCAACTCACTTTTGAAAACCCATCTACATCACGTCCCTAGGAGAGATCAGGAGTGACGAGAATATCTTGGCCGAAATTTCCATAATTTTGTCTACCTCTAGAAAGCAAATATCTTGGCCGAATTTTTCGTGTTTTTTTCTGTTTTTTAAAACTTGGTCAAAGTTTATTCAAATTCAGTCAAATTTGGTAAATTTTCAAATATTTCATGCAAAAAAGTATGGAAATCCCCGAAACTTTTGCACTATCAAATTTTTACTAGGGCAGGGTTTGTACAAACATGGGTAAAAGTTTAGCATTAAACCAAACATCCATGTGGTACTATTAAAGTTACCAAAATTTTGGTAGGGTGAATATTGGTTCTAATCAAAACCAGCCCTATACTTTCCGTTCTACAGATAGACCCGAGAAAGCTAGTATGATGCATGCAAATTAGAGTGGAGATTAAATTTCTGTAAATTTCAAATTTCAGACAAAGTTTTGAACAAGCCACATTCAGTATTTTTCCTTTGTTGGACTCCAGAATGCTGAATGAGTGCACACTCAACATGCAGCTGAGAAACAAACAGATGTTCTAATCATCTCATCGAGGTGGTTGATCATATCATGTATCTCAATGTATTTGGAGCAGCGTTTGGAGCAAAATGCTTGCGTAGGTGTGCAGACCTTCATTTCTTTAAAAAAGGAAGACAAGAACTTCGCCTCATATATTGATGAAGAAGGAGTAACGGAGTACAGAAAAATTTTACATGGTTTGGGAGTTATAGTCGTTCCCAGACCTCAGATTTGAGCGTTGAGCGTTGTTCTCCCAACGGATGTAACTCTGGAAGATTCTTTGCCCCTGCTGAAAACCAGAGCTTTTGTTCCTCTTTGATTGTCCTCAGGATGTTCGTAGGGATGTGCAGACGTTCCTTGTGTTCGCCCAGTTCTTCAGCCGATTCTCTGAATACTGGCACCCAAAGTTCTTGTGCTTGCTCTGTCTTCTCATTTTGTGTCACCGGTGGCGTTAGCAACTTGGTAACTCCTAATACCTTCCATGCCGGAACTAATGGGTTTGAGGACGAGCCAGCGAAGGAGAATGATGAAATAGTGAAGTTGAGGAGAAGGAGGAGGAAGAAGATCCAGCATCCTACTGCAGTACATCTCACTCAAGCCATATGCAAGTTTATATAAGGTTGGGGGTGAGGTTGATGAGTCGAGTAACGATGGTAGGTACAGAGCCCCACTACTTTGCTCTCTGCTAGTAGTAGAAAGCAATCTGAACCATTGATCTCATTTCATTGAATGGTTTGGATCTATTTATATTACCACCTCAGTTAGTGGTAGTGAAAACATGGAGGGACATTATTGTCCAAGAAAAATATGTGCGGAAGGGTATAATTGCTATTTCGCAGTGACTAAACATTGTTTTTTGGATTTTTATGGAATATGAGCGATGCCAGCACAATGAAGGCCATAGATCGAATTAGCCCCCCAAAAACATAAATGATAGTTACTCCTAATCATGGTATTAGTAAATAACTAATTACCCCTAATAATACTGATAGCACAATACTATCAGTAGAGAACACCGGAACATCGCTCGGTAGATGAGATGGGCGGATGAGTTCATTTTTTTTCCACAAGAGCATGGCGTTCAACGAAGCGTATTGCGCTCGGAGAATCTGGTTCAGAGGGGTTTGCTCTGAATGTTCAGGCTGCAGATCAATGTATCACTCTGAGCATGCATATTAATTAAAGTTGAGTTAAGTACACTATGACTGTGATTATGTCAGTCATTTATTTCAGTTCATTATCTTTAAAAAGGCCATGACTTCATTATCCAAATTTGTATTTTCCTTCACAATTTAGTTTTGTAATATCTTTGATTGCATTTAATTTGCTACTCATTTCAGTTCTTTCTTCTTCCCAAGAGGCCAAGATACCTGAGTGATTGAATTGATTTCATGCTACTACCTCTTGTCTCAAATTCGCCACTCGGCATGTAAGCGCTGTTGATACAACCTACTAGTTTGGAATCAACAACATGCAGCTTTTGTGTCTTCAAGCAGTCTGAGGTTGCTTGAGCAGCTCAGTTGCAGTGAGGCCGTGAATCAAGACACGCCCAAAGCTTGAATTGGAACCCCCACAACATGCTACTCTCAAAGTACTTCTTCAAGCAAATCGCTGCCTACTTCATCTCTTAAATCTTCAGCGAGTTGAAAGAATTCTGGGCTGTCCTATCTCCCGGTACCTCCCATGTCATCAAGCCAAAGCAATTGGATTTGAATATGCTGGGTGATTTCAGCGAAAAGGAGTAGGAAGAAGAAGAGGAACATCATCTCTGCTCATTTAGTCATTTCTTGCATGAATCCTTCTTGCGACGGATGAAACTCATGAAAGGATGGCAAGGAACAACTGTATATAAAGAGGTGAGAATGCGAGATGAGAGACTATCTAGGTTGGTGTGTAAATTTGGGTGGGTGGATTCTTCAGGCTTAAAATCTCAGGATTGCTCTAAAATTCTGGAGTAGAAGGAAATTGATGCATTTTGGTACAGAGAGCATGGATTATGGACAAGGTTAGCTGGAGGTAGTTGCTCTTTTTCAGTCTTCAAGTATCCATTCAAATAAAAGTTCAGGTTAGTGAAGCGTAGGTTAGCACCGATAATTTTTTTCAGTTTAGATGGATCCCTTCAGATTTGTCGCTTAATTACTTTCATGATCCCGACTCATATTTCACAGGTGTTTTATGTTTGTGTTTCTCGTGTATGCCTAGTAATCATTTTCATGGAATGACTAGCTGACTAGGTTTGCTCAACATTTTTTTGTTGCATTGGATACAGCACAACTAAAAAGCTGTTAGAGAAGAAAACTGAAGAGAGCAATTGAGGAACCAATGTTTTTCTAATAATGGATTTAAATAAAATCCGGCCTCTACGTTCCAAGAGACGTGCTCTTCTGGGAAGACAACTGGATCCAAGGGTCATCAATCTACACCCTTGCGCCGGCTGTGCATGCAGCGGTCGCAGCAAGAACGCGGAATTGCAGGACGGTTCGCGAAGCACTCCAAGGTAGAACATGGATCCGGGATATATCTGGGGCTTTGGGAATCCAAGCTATCCTAGAGTACCTTAGCTTGTGGACATCTTTGCAATCCTTGGATGCCCTATCGGAAGAGTCGGATTCAATCATCTGGAGATGGGAGTCGTCAGGAGAATACTCAGCTCGCTCAGCTTATCAGTCCATGTTTGTGGGGAGGGTCCAATTCCAGGACAAGCCTATCTGGGGGTCATTAGCACCGCCCCGATGCCGCTATTTCCTGTGGTTAGTGGCACTAAACAGATGTTGGACGGCCGATCGTTTGCGGAGACGGGGTTTACCACATCCTGATCGGTGCGTCCTGTGTGATCAAGGTGACGAGACGATTGATCATCTCCTGGTCGCATGCCCGGAGTCACGTCAACTGTGGTGGTTCGCACTCCGAGCAATTGGTTTGTCGGACATACTGCCATTCAACGAACCCTCCTTCCTCTTATGGCTTTGTGACAAGAGAGTGAAGGTTGCCAAAGCTCAGCGACGAGGATTTGACACCATTGCACCTTTGATAGCTTGGACTATTTGGAAGGAGCAGAACAACAGGGTCTTCAACCAACAGCAAAAGACCTGGGTCTAAGTGGCAAAGGTGATGGCGGCCGAGGCCGAGCTTTTGGCGCTTAGCGAACGCGGCCATGCTGGAGTTACCTCTACCGACCACGGAGTGGCGGTCGCAAAATTTTATAGGAGATTAGGCCTTAGATTTTGTTGTCCATCCGGTACCCTGTCCCCTTCTTTATTTTCATTTTCAAAACTCTGTAAATAATCTTTATTTCTCTTAATACAAAGATGCGCATCTTGCGTATTCCCAAAATAGCGAGGAACCAATGTACAGGGGAAGGAGCAGCAGAAAAAACAAACTGAAAAGAAAAAAAACAGTGAGTACTGAGTACATAAATACTCCATGGCACGGGGAAACTCGTCGTCTCATTCGTATGGTTCTTCTCCGATGAACTTCTGGGAATCTTAAGATATTTATTTCTCAAGTAGTATAGGAAATCCGAATGCCGCTTTTATTTCAGGGCCCCCTAACATTTCGGGCTTCAAAGATTCTTGTACTCTTACATGCGCTTCTTCAGCTCAGCAATCTTCAGGAGAAATTAAAGCAAAGAAACCACTGCTAATCAATTCTGGACCGGCTGTCAAAGAAAGTGGTCGGTTGGAAGCCTAAACTGCTTTCTCCTGACGGCCGACTGCGTTTGATCAAATCGGTGCTTACCGCCTTGCCAGTTCACTTCATGTCTGTGCTCATTCTGCCAAGGTGGGCAATCAAGGATTTCAACAAGAAGTGTCGGGCGTTTCTGTGGAAAGGGCAAGAAGAAGTCAATGGTGGACACTGCTTAGTGGCGTGGGATGCTGTCTGCGGTCCGGTGGAATGCGGGGGTTTGGGAGTAAAAAATCTAGACCTCTTTGGTCAAGCCCTGCGGATGAAACGGCTTGTTAGGCAGTTGGAGCAAAAAGGAAGGCCGTGGACCCTGTTTAACTTGATCAGTCCCGACAAACGACATCAATGGTCTGTTCCAATAAATGGCGGTTTTTCAGGTGGGGGATGGGAAAGATACCGATTTTTGGAGGGAAAATTGGTTGCCGAGGGGCTGCATCTCAGTTTCCTCGCCCACGCTCTTCACTTACCTGGGCAGATCGAAGCTGACTGTGGTGGAGGCGCTCAGACAGCATCGCTGGGTGCGCGACATCCGTGGGTCACTCTCCGCGGCGGCGCTATCAGAGTATCTGAACCTGTGGGATGAAATTCAGGAGGTGCAGCTACAGGATGATGTCGACGATTCCATCAGATGGAGACTAACTTCCAATGGGACTTTCTGCACGGCATCTGTGTATGAGCTCTTCTTTGCCGCGCAGGTGAAGTCCCAAAGCGCGGAATTGATCTGGCAAACAAGGGGCCCGTCCAGGATCAAGTTCTTTATGTGGCTCATCACTAAGGGGAGATGCTTGATTGCGGATAATCTGCAAAAAAGAGGTTGGCTGCATGAAGATGGTTGCGTCCTTTGCAATGGTGATCAAGAGAGTTGTGACCACCTGCTGCTTCAGTGCCCTTTCTCAAACAGGGTCTGGGGTTTAGTGAGAACATGGATTGGAACATCCTTTCCCCTACCTGGGGAAGACAACTGGGAGTTCGCAGATTGGTGGATGAAGGCCAGAAGCTGTTTTCAGACGAGATCCAGGGGTGCTTTTGATTCCCTCTGTCTCCTAATCTGCTGGTTTGTGTGGCGAGAGCGCAACTTCAGAATTTTTGAACAGAAAACGCGAACGGCGTTAGAACTCTTCAGAGATATCAAAGATGAAGTTGTAGTGTGGAGAGAGGCCAACATTTTGAGAGAAGTCGGCTAAAGGTCCCGCCTTTGGCGGTTTGCTTCGTTTTTCCTTTTCTTTCTGTTCTTCTCGACTGTTTAATGTCGATTTGTAAAACTTTTCATAACCTCTCCTGATCCTTAATACAATTTGGGCAGCCTGCCTTGGGCCGTCCCGGCTAAAAAAAACCACTGCTAATCAATCGGTGGATTCTTAGGTGACGCGACGAGGCAGCTCCTTATGTCTCTCGATTCCTTCCATTCCAAACTAGTATGGCCTAAATCAACGAGTTATCCAATTGAAAAGAGAGAGAAGGATGAAGATCGAAGAGGGCATACATGCATGCAAAATTATACATCCTCCCAGCAATGGAGGACAGGAGAAGAAAGAATGTGCCGAATAGAGAGGGGAGCCAATGCTAAGAGAAGGATGTGTAAACTGTAAATACATGTGTGTATAAACTGTAAATAACTGAGTACCTGAATGACCGATTCAAGCTCAAAATGCAGGAGTAAGGTAGATGAGAACATATAGGGAGTGAAGAGAAGTGATACATGCTCATCACATTCTACACTGGCAAGATTAGGTGGAGGAAGTTACTACCACTTTCCAAGCTGCAGAATTTGCAGATCGACCTGATAATTCGTGTACAATAGTTGTGATTAGTAAGGCACTAAGGTCATGTGTTTATGCATGTATGCGTGGAAGGTCTAATTCTCTCTATCAGACCTTAATGAGGAGTGGAAAATTTCTATATTTCAGACAAAGTTTATACATGACATACGAAATTTCGTTGAACATGTCTGCTTCTTTGAAGCTGAATTGTTCTGTTTTCATGCACAAATGAGTGTGCACTTGGCATGCATCGAGAAACAAGCAAACAAATGGTGGTCGACTTTGGCAGGTTGGCCAACGGTGACACTAGAGGTTTGTAGTTTCTACCATACATCTCCTTGTATTTGAAGCTGCTTGTGCTAGGATGCTTCTGCCGCTGACAGTCGTTCCCATTCCTGAAGACGTTCTAAGTTTCAGTCTCCTTCCTCCGCCAATTCCCCGAACAGATAATGCAGGAAGGACAGAGCTCACTATGCCCTCCCAACTTCTAACAGAAAAAAAATTTGTGCCTTAGTTACTCCCTATACCTCCCATACCAATTGTTAGACTATTTGGGCTTGAAGCATAGACATCGTGAAGAGTCCTTGAAGGAAAAATAGGAAGAAGCTGAGGAGAAGAGGAGGAAAGAGACCTACCATTTATCCTACTGCACATCTCACTCAAGTTACCCTCACCCACCTACTTCTTCATCACGCAGCAACCATCGCCTCATTCTAATTTAAACTTACATATTTGGGTTTAAAGTAGTTTAGTGGTTGCAGTAATTTGAGTATTACCTAAAGGTCCTAAATTTAAATTTACATAGAAGCGAATTTCAGATTGGGTTATTTGAGAGCTAAGTTTCCTGTTTGATATATTAAGTTCCTAGTTTAAAAAGACTACATGTATCCGGTTGCATGTAGAGGCTGGGTTAAAAAACCCTTTTCTAAAAAAAATGGACTTAAAGTACTATAGGGCTGAGGAAGAGGAGGAAATAAGACTCGGGCGATGAATGGCCAAACAGTGAAGGTATACTCAAATTTATACCCAAACAGTGGAGGTATACCCAAATCACGATTGTATTATACTATTATACTTATATATATCTATCAAATTTATAGAAGAAAACTTATCGATAAATATATAGCTAGCCCAACTTGAAATTCATGCCAACACAGCGGCGAAATGTACTGCGCTTGAGATGTTCATGAAGCTGCGCATCTGATCGTTGATGTCTCGTATGTCTACTAGTCTTATGTTCAGAGAATGCTGAATTAATGACCATGGCAAATTTATCCCATTGCTTCAGAAAGAAAGCAAATGAAACGATGTTGCCATATCCTTCTTTTTGTTCCATGTCATAAAGCAAACCGGTAGATACTATAAAATCAAAAACGTAAACTTCCAATGCTATATAACCAATTTTGCCTTCTATATTTCCATTTCCACTTAGTCTGACGTGTTGTGTTAAGAGAGGTGTGAACTAGTATATGCCTACATATGAGACGTATACTTCACTGGTGACATCATGCTTCGATGCTACAGATTTACATGAACATGCAAAATTGCGTGCATATTACAGTCAAGACAAGTATTTCAATTCATTTGAAGAGCTGATTCTCTCCGGTAGACCTTTGATCCAATGGAGTAAATTTCTGCCTGTTCAGATCTCAGACAAGGTTTATACATGACACGTGAAATTTTTTTGATAATATTGTTTATTTATAGTTAACTCTTTAATTGGTTTTTGGTCGAGTAGGTAGCAGGGTTTGAATTATCGATATGAAAAAAAATTTAGGGGACACCGATAAATGGGATTATCGAAAATATCATAATTTTATTAACGATAAGAAAAAAAATTTCAGACAAAATCTGTAAAAAATTGGCTCAATTTGTGGAAATCAACTATATTGTATTTAAAGCATTTGGTATAAAAAACATATATAATATGTAAATGACCAGGATAAGTGCAAATAATCATGTAGGCAGTCAAAGATCATAGTGCCACGCATGAAAAATTAGAAAAAGCCAATTCGGTATCCACTAATAAACCCGAATTTTGGAAATTTCGGTCCATGTTTCAGCGATAATGTGAACCCTGGTAGGTAGTATATGCTACAGGCATTCAGCCAAAAACTTACCACAATCCTTCAGAACATGCTTGCCCACCAATCACATTGTGCAATTCATTTGATTTGTCTCGTCTGCAGTGTATCTCGATCTATCTGAAGTTGCATCTGCAATCCTTTCTCATGATTACTGCCTACATAAAGCAAACAACCCACAGCTTCTTTAGCACATCAATCTTCACTGCAAACTAAAGATAGTGCCTTTGTGACTTCCAATGCCTCCCGTTCCGGACCAATATGGGCTGATAGATAGACCGATATGCCAGCGGAGGAGGAGGACAATAATGAAGAAATTGAAAGGAGAAAGAAGACCCACCCACCCTACTACAGTCTACACATCTTACTAAAGTAAGTGGAAATGTAAATAAGGTTTTGAGACCAGAGGTTGTTGTGCTGGATTTTTTACATATTAGATCTTTTTAAAAGTTTATTTTTACAAATAGAGTCATATTGGACCATGGCACTAATGATGTTGGTGTTGCGAAGAGGATCTGTTTCCACAATAAGTTTTTAGGGGGTTTATTTGTAAAATAAGTTTTTAAGAAAGTCTAAAATGTGAAAAATTTAAGGTTGCTGTGTATAATACAATGGGTACGTGGGTGAGACTGAGTTTTGCATGAGTAATTCAGGCTTCAAATGACAAGAAAATGAAATGTATTATGCTGATAGGTTATTATTTCCTTCGTTTCATATTATAGATCATTTGACTTTATTTTTTGTTAAAACTCTTTACGTTTGACTAAATTTATAGAATAAATTAGCACATCTACGATACTAAATTAGTTCTATTAAATTTAACATTGAATTTATTTTGATAATATGCTTGTTTTGTATTAAAACTATCAGTATATTTTTCTACAAACTTAGTCAAACTTTAAGAATTTTAACTAAGAAAAAAAATCAAACAACAATTTACACATTAATTAATACTATCAACCAGATTATTCATATTCTCCTCTTCTCGTTGCTGCAATTACTAATCATTCACCACCGACGCGAAGAGAAAGGAACATATGAGTGTACGACAAATCAAAGCCGCCATCCACCGTACCTAGTGGAACAATTTTGCAAGATGTCTTCAACTGCTGACCAGACACATCTGGTTGCCTCTATGTACCTACCACTGACAGTTAAAAGCAACCAAATGAAAAATTGTTCCTTAACATTTGCTTGTCCAGCATATTTGCTTGTCCTGGTGCTTCCCATGCCGATTGGCAAGCTGGTTAGTGATTAGCTCCATGATCGAGTGAACTGAAAAGTAAATAGCTATATGTTCTTTGTTCTTGGTGATGGATTTCTGATCTCAAAACCAATACATTTGCAATTGCGCTGTTAACATTTTGTGATGATGAAGAGGACGAAGATCCAACAACCTCCTAGTAAGTTAGTGATTCCCAATGCCTCCCGTGCAGAACTAATATGGGCTGACTGACAGATCGATAAGCCAGCGAAGGAGGAGGACAGTGATGAAGAAATTCAGAGGTGAAACAAGACCCTACTACACAGCTCACTTAAGTTGGTGGAAATGTAAATAAGGTTGAGAGACTAGAGGTTGCTATGCTGGATCTTTTTTACATATTTGATCTTTTTGAAAATTTATTTTACAAATAGAGTCATATTGGACCTTGGCTCCAATGATGTTGGTGCCGTAAGAAGGATTTATTTCTGGAATAAGTTTTTTTTTAATAATAAGTTTTCAAGAAGGTCTAAAATATAAAAATTCTAAGGTTGTTGTGTATAAAGGTAGGTGGGTGAGACTGAGTTTTGTAGGCGTTGGACTTATGGCTCGTTTGCATAATGGGGGCTCGTCCAGAAAAATCAAATCTGCAGCCGTGTAAAGTTATCGACACATCATGTTCTCGTTCAGGCCTATCATGGGCTATCTAATAATTAGCGTGTGCACATATGGATAAGTGTGTATGGTGGTGTGTAAGTTGAGTGCATCATTTTCACCCCCTTTTAAAATAAAGCTAGTAGGATTTTTTTTAAAAAAACAACAACTCTTTTTCATGGTTTTGGAATATCAAACACTGTTCAACGACTGATCCCAAGGTAGGGGACAATCGGAACCTCGAGAATTCCAATTGCTTCGGAATGACTGCCGCGTGCTGGCAGTTTATTCGAATGGCCTTCCCCAGAATGCTGAATGCCAACAGATCGCTGCGACAAACTCCCTTGTATCTTGTTGAATGCTCCATCTATGTGCTCATGTCTCCAGTGTAGAGCCCGGCAATGATAAGGTTAAATCCTTGTTCCAGTTGTATCACTCTGAAAGCCAACGAACCATGGCTATGAATGTTCCATTTGATCCTAGCTTGATCGTGACATGCTCATGCATCTGTATCTCCTGACAACTCCCATGCCAAAAGCCAGTGGATTTTAGCTGATCAACGAGCTGATCAGCAAAGAAAATGGAGGATGAAGAAGAAGAACAAGGCATCTAAACATGATGCATTCTCCTGGTAATGGAGGGTAGGATAGCTTAGGAGGAATAATGCATGTGAATAAAATGACTGGGTAGCTGGGTTTCGTTGGGTTTGAGGTTTAAAATGATAGCAATTTTACTGTTCTTGAGTAGGTATCATGAGTTAAAAAAATTAGTGTAAAATTTAGTACCTCATAGTATATAGGTACTAAATTTACAATAGAAAAAGTGGTACCTCCTAAAAACTATAAAATTGCTCTTAAAATGATGGGAGCAAAGATGAGCGAGAGAGCATAGAGGAGTGAAGACAAAGTAGATAGACAAGTGATGGTTTTCGCACGTACCAATATGTACTACATACACTTACTGGGTGCAAAGAGTTAAAGCATTCCTAATCATTCAAATGCACTATCTTTCGTTAATAAGAAAAAAAAAAGGATATGTTCAGACTGCAAGTCGATATGAGCTTTAAAGATTAAATTTAAAGAAATTTCATGGTCATTAAGTGTAACGCCCCGCTTTTCGCGAAACGTTAAAAACTAACTAGCTAGGTGGCCTGCACAATTACGCGGCTAGCACCCAAACAAAATCATATATTTTTTTAGTATGATTTTTACTTAAAATTTATTAAATAGTTATCTCATTGTCTTAAGACTTTGAAAGACGAAACCTTATCATCCTCAAGTTTCTAATTATATAGTTTTTAAAAGTCACACCAATTGCTACCCCTTATGTCATCTCCTTCTTTATTTGCTTGCTCGATCTACCATTATTTCTATTCATTCTTTTTGGAACCTTTAAAAATTGGATTTTAAAGTTTTTAGAGTTTATTGTCACATTGGGTTTCATTTTTATAATTTCAAAATGTCCCGTCAAACGTTGCCATTATACTCCTCTACGGCACGTCCACTGTCTCTTCTCTTTATTGTCATTGAGATTTTAAAAATCAAACATAATTATTGTTTGGGTTCATTTTTACTTTCTAAAAGTCCCGCCAAACCATCAGTGGCTTTGCCATTGTACTCCTCTACGGCTCGCCCGCTTTCTCCCTTCTTTATTGTCATTGAGATTTTAAAATTGAACATGATTATCATTGGTTTTTTTTTTACTTTTTGGAAGTTCCAAACCTTTAAAAATTGGACTTGTAATTTCATTTTTTATAACTTTTAGAAGTCCCATCAAACGATGCCACTATGCCCCTCTACAGCCCGTCCGCCGCCAACTCTTTGTTGTTATTATGATTTTAAAAATCGTACATAACTATCATTTGAATTCATTTTTTATTTTCTAGAAGTCCCGTCAACTGTTGGCGGCTCTGCAACTATACTCTTATACACCCCGCCCGCTGCTTCTCCTTTTTATTGTCATTGAGATTTTAAAAATTGAATATGATTATCAATGGGTTTTTTTTATTTTCTAGAAGTCCCGGCAACCGTCTTACTCTTTTGCTTCACAGCATGCCTGACGTCCCTCCTTTTAATTGTCATTAGGATTCTATTCGGTGTTTTATTAACAATTTTTATATCTCGTATCAACCGCTACCACTCTACTCCTTTATAGGCATGTTACTTAATTTATCTCGTCATGTGTTTTAGATGGTCTTTTCTTTCAATAATCTTTATTTTTATCACAAATTTTAGTTATTTATAAATTGTATTCCTAATTGAAATCTTATGTTTCTTTTTCAAATTTCAGAATTTTTTTAAAAAAATTAGTTAATATCGTATAGTGTTCTTTTAATGTTTTTATTTTTTATTTTCAATTTCAGTTGTTTTAAAATTGTATTCCTACTTGAATTTTCTTTTAGTTTTTTCTAATTTTAGATATTATTTTATTTTTATTCTCAATTTTAATTAATCTCATATTGGGTTCTTATATGAATTCTTCTTTCAATATTGCTTATTTTTAATTCTGAATTTCAGCTAATTCTAAATTGTATTCCTTCATGAACTCTTCTTTTATTTTCTTTTGCTAATTTCGGATTTATTTATTTTTATTTCAAATTTTAATTAATCTCGTATTGGGTTCTTATATGGACTCTTCTTTTATTATTCCTTATTTTTAATTCCGAATTTCAGCTATTTTTAAATTGTATTCCTACTTGGACTCTCATTTCCTTTTCTAATTTTGGATTTTATATTATTTTTGTTTTTAATTTTGATTAATCTTGTATTAGATTCTTATATGGAAACTTATTTCAATATTCCTTATTTTTAATTCCGAATTTCGGCTATTTTAAATTGTACTTCTACTTGGACTCTCCTTTTCTTTTTTCTTTTCTTTTTCTCTGATTAATGTGGGAATTTCTAGCTCCCGCAGCGAACGTGGTACCTCCTTTCAAAGTTATTTTAATAATATAATAGATTTGGCAAAATCCTATATGCGAAAATTTTTCTCTTTGTGTGCGAGTCTAAGTTGTGCCAAGATCTCAATTCAAATTCCCGTCGTCCCCTCTCATCGATATCAAAATCCCCCGCCTCAAGATTTCTATTCCGATTCAAGGTTCCAAAATCTAATTCCGAAACTCAATTTCTTCCCTTGAATCCTCGCCAAATACTTGTCCTCGCTCCCTGAAATATCAATTCTCATTTTGAACCTCTCCCTTGACCTCTCCTTGACTCCTTGAGCCCTTGTGTGCAAATTCTCCAATTTAGATTCAAATTTCAAATCCCAATCCAAATTCTCTCCAACTAAAATTCTAAGCAAAAGTCTAATTTGCATCCCTCGGGTTTGTGGGCCGAATCCCCTCCCTCGGCCCATCTCTCCCCCTCTGCCCTTCTCTCTCACGTGCGCCGCACGTGGTCGCTCAGCAGAGCTGAGAGAGGAAGAGAGCTCTCGCCTCTCTCCCTTTTCTCTCCCTCTCCGTTCGCTCTCTCTCCCCGGCGCCGATTCCCGCCGACGCCGCTCAAATCCGCACCGCCTTCGCTCATTCCTGCGCGCTCGCGCGTGGCCGACCGCCCGGTTGCCGCCGCGTCAAACCCTGGCGCGCATTGCCGCTCCACGCCGCACCGCCCACAGCGTCATCGCCCGGCCCCGATGCTCCATGCCGCATCCTTCCAAAACCAAGAGACAGAGCTCGTGCCCCTCTCTCTCGTTCTCACATCCTCCTTCTCTCCCTCCCCAAAACGGCATGGTCAAGCTCCCCTTTCCCCCTTCTTTTTCTCCTTTTTCCCAACCTCAGCCACCGCACCTCCTCTGCCACCGCCTGGCCGCTTGCGCCCGTGAGCGCCAGCCGAGCTAGCGCGACCGCCAGCTCGCACCCTTGACCGCCCTATGTCGGTTCCTTCCCTTCGAAGCCCCATCCGCGCCTATAAAGCCCACAGCCGAGCCCCTCCTCCTCTCGATCCCTCCCGCTTCACTCTCCACCGCTGCCGCGCCATTGTTGCCGCCGAACCACCATCGCTCGTCGCCGGCCCTCCTCGGTGCTCCTCCGTCCCATCCGACGACGGAAACGGATTCCCCGAGCCCCGGAGATGCTCCCGCCGCCTCGAATCGAACCCTCGTTGACCACCGGCGATTCCCCTCTTTTGCCGCCGCCGACGGTCGCCGCCGCAATCCGCCGCCATAGGACGTCCTCCGTCGCATCCGAGCCGTTTACTCGCTTCCTCTCGTTCCATCCCTCCTCCCGGTGTGCTTCCTTTTTCCGTTGAGGTCGCACCTTGCTCCGGTGAATGTCGCCGCCGTCCGCCGTCCATCTCGGGCACAACCTTCGGCCTCCTCCCGCTTGCCAACGTGGCAGCCACGTCGGCTTGACCCGGTCACGCCGATCCGGTCGGCCCCTCCCTCCGTTTTCCCTTCTGTGCTCGCGGTCCACGACAAGCCGTGCGGCAGCACGTGGGCCCACCTCCTCTCCGTCCACCCGGTGCACCAACCCCACCGAACCCTAGCGCCGCTACCCGCGTGCGCCTCCCCCACCGTGAGACAAGCCGCCGACATGTGGGCCCCATCCCGGGACCCTGCGTGGTGGACCGCCGTCCACCCGGTTGGCCTCTCTCGCCCGCGCCCCTTCTGTTGGGCCGCCTCCTCGTGGCCGCGCCGGCCCAATGGCTCGGCCGAGCCGCTAAAATCCTTTGGGCCGCGCCCAAGCGCCTGAGAAAGTCTGAAATCTGCCCCTCCTTCTTTCTTTTTCAGAAAGGGTTTAGTTAAATCCTTTTCCTTTGATTAGAAAATTCATTCAACCTTAGAAAATCCATATCTCCCGATCCGTAATTCCGATTGACCCCGTTCCACTTCCAATAATTCTGTAAAATTGAGATCCATCTAAATAGTCTAAATAGGGTCTTTCTTTTGATCTTTTGTTTAGGTTTTTGATTGTTTGCGTATAGTTGCGATTGCGGATTTTCATCAATCAAGGATTTCTCGAAGATTCGTGAAGCTTCGTGAAGATCTTGAGCAAGGCAAGTCACCCTTTGACCAATTGCTCCTATAATTGAAAAATCATTATTATTTTGTTTGCAACTTGCATTATTAGAATCACTCACACTTAATTTGCTTAGCCTCGGTTTGCGTGCCAAACCAACAAACCTACCCAGTAGTCGCACTAATTCCTGTAGGCTGTACTACCTTGATTTCTTGTCGCTCCACCCTTGTGGTACTTCGGTATCCGTGCTCTCTGAGCGCGAATACCAAATATCCCACATACACCGTTGATTGTCGAAAACTTGGGAAATGGATTTGAGAAGCCTTGAAAACCCGACACGTGGTGTCGGCGTGTTTGAAAATAAAATAGTTTGTGAAAACTCGCGATGCGGGTGCCGTGCCAATGTGACGTTGTCCCGTGTTCGCATATAAGGACCGATTCCTGTGGGAAACTCATCGAGCATAATCAAAGTGCAACCACAAGGTGGAATGGGATACCCTGGCTAAGTAACTAGTCGGTTCAGGGAAACCTCGCATACCAATAGTTGGGGAACGCCGGGGCGGGGTCGGTTGGAGCCAACCCGGGTTCCTGGTAAAGCAAGAACGCTTGCCAGATTACCGATCGAGGTGGTTGGAGTTTGATTTGTGAAAACTAAAATGGCCTATATTTATGTGAGGATTTGATCCTTCTATGTGGCATGAGGTAACCTTGGGTCGGCTTGGGAAAGGCTTTGTTGCGAACCTCCGACACCGACGGGTGTTCGGAATAAGTTCGTATCTTGTGGGTAAAGTGTACCCCTCTACAGAGGTTAACTAACTGTTCGAACAGCCGTGCCCACGGTCATGGGCGGATGTGAGGTGGTTCCTGTTGCGTAGATTTGTTTGCCTGTACTTTGTGAAAAGTTGTTGTGGTGTGGGAATCGTAACCAGAATCAGCCTATGTGGCAGATGGATCACCTGAGTGGTCAGAAACGAATCTGTGTGATTCGGGATGTCTACGGGCATCATAGACTAGGCTTCCCGAGTGGAAGCGGTTTGTTGTGCTGCTGGGCAGCTGGACTCTGGGAGTCCGAGAAAATGAAAAAGGCTCTGGGAGCCAATTAATCAAGTGAAAATGGCTCTGGGAGCCGATAAGTAATGATTTGACCCGGGAGGTCGATACATTACCAATTGAGTTGTTGAAAAGCATCTCTTAAGTCGATTTGAGACGCAAGTATCTTTTCGATCCAAACTTAAAAAGAAATAAATCACTTAGTGATTTCAAAAGTGGTTTCAAACAAAGGATTTACAAAACAACCTTGCCTCTCTTCCAAGCTTGCATTAAACACCTAAATTCCCGTGACTTGCTGAGTACGAAAGTACTCACCCTTGCTCTATATAAATATATATAGTTCCTCCGCCCTGAAGAGAAGATGAAGTGAAGTGAGGAGTAGGGTTTCGTCCTGGTTACCAGCCGTCGCCTGTGGTGTTGGGTGTTAGTCCGTTGGTTCCACTACTGCTGGTGTTGTTGGTGTTTCCTCGTCCGTGTCGTCGGTTGCATTCTCGGGCTGTTCTGAGTTGCAACCTAAGTTAAGGTAAATAAGTCCTCTATTTATTTTAAGGATTGCAATGATTCATATTTATCACCGTGGGTACCAGCGCTATGTCCTGGGACTGGTACTGAGATCGCGGTTTCGCAGGAAGCGGTTCGCGCTGTTTTTTCTACAGCACGCTCCTGTCAGGTGCCGTTGTACGACGGTGCCGGATTGGGGTGTGACATTAAGAAAGTACCCTGTAAATACCAAACTCTTAGGTATTTTGAGGTACTAAGTTTTACATATAAAAATAATTTTAGACAGGTTAGACCATGCATGTAGGCATGCCTGCATTACGCATGCCTTTTGTTCTTGACAGGCTAAATTTCTTCACCATTACCTTGATCAGTGTCAGTGAACAAATTCATCAGACAAAGTTTGTACATCACGCAAGAAAAAATTCTGGCAATATTGAAATCGGTCGTACTCCACTGGCGAGATTAGGTGCAGAAAATTACTAAGCTGCAGAGTTGCAGATTGACACCTGAGCAGAGGTTATGTATCTATCGGATGCATCATATGTGTGCAAATTAGATTCAAATTAGTTTTCTCTCTGCCTTACCTTGACCAGGGGTAAATTAATAATTTCCATACGTTTAAATCTCAGAAAAATAGTATACAAGATATATAAAAAATTCCTTAACAGCATCGCTCCTTTCTTTTAGCAAATTGAAGCGCGATGAGAAATAGTGCCTCTTTGCTGAACTTTTTTTCTTTTTTGGCACAAGTGAAGCATGCACCTAGCTAGGATGCTTCGACAAACTAATTAGCAGCCAGATACTGCCATCGTCGCAAGCTTGGCCACAAATCGCCTCATTGGGATCTCAATCTATTTGAACCTCCTACGTACATGGCGTGCAACTGAAAATCTGAAATGCTCCTTCAGACATCCAGCTTGAAGCTCCTGTAAAGTGGATGTTTTTAGGAGCATTTCAGTTGCCCATGCTAGCCAGAGGTGTCTGGAGGAGCTTCAAAGCAAATGTCTGCAGGAGCATCTCAGGTACCATTTTGACCTTACAAGTTCCTATGCCCTTCTTCAGCTGATTCTCTTGGTACAGTGATGGAAGATCCCCGCGCTACTGTTTCTGTAGGGTGTTCCATCACAAGCTGAATTCGCGCCTGGGTAATTCCAGATACCTGCCATGCCATGTCGCTCAAATGGGCTTGAGGCCTAGAGGGCGAGCTAGCGAAGGACAAAGGAGGGGAAATCGAGGAGGTGGAAGCTAAGACTCAGTATACAATTGCACATTTCACTCAAGTTGTATGCGAGTTTAAATAAGTTCGAGGCAAGGTTCTTGCGTGATGAAGGGTAGGTGGATGAGATAATTTTGCGTGTGGATAAGGTCTGGTTTAGTTCCCAATTTTTTTTCCCAAAAACGTCATATCGAATATTTGGACAAATGCATAGAGCATTAAATATAGATAAAAACAAAAATTGATTGCACAGTTTACATGGAAATCGCGAGACGAATCGTTTGAGTCTAATTAGTCCATGATTACCCATAAGTGCTACAGTAACACATATATGCTAATGACGGATTAATTAGGCTCAAAATATTCGTCTCGCGGTTTCCAGGCGAGTTATGAAATTAGTTTTTTCATTTGTGTTCGAAAACCCCTTCCGACATCCGGTCAAATATTCGATGTGATAACTAAAAATTTTCTTTTCGCGAACTAAACACACCCTAATTCAATGGTAAACTAATTAATGAGTAAATAGGACCAGAACTAGCATGACCTTGTGAAGATGCTAGCAAGGCCCGGTGTAGGAAGGCTACTATAGTACTGGATAGAGATGACGCATAAACGCCTGCAGGGCTGCATACTAGTTTATTTTCCATCTATTGGTAAAAGAGTAGATAAGAAAATAACTAAAATTGTGATTAAGCAGGCCTCAAAGAGACCGCGCGAACCCGTCCCACCTGCATCCATAGTAGTGACCTAATCCATGGGGCCAAACGGATAGTGATATTTCACAGGGCTGCTTATAGAAAATGACGCACACCCACTAGGCAATACTCCATCTGTCAAAAAAAAAATCAACGTAAATTGTATTTGACATAACCTAGTACAATGAATCTGAATACGACATGCGGGCAATGTGGAGAGCAAGTGGGCCCCACATCCTGCCACACAAGGAAATTTCTCCCGTGGTAATATTTGCTTTAATTTACGGCCGAATATTTGAGTATTCTTTTTAAATGTTTTTTTATGAATTTAACAAATTTTTATTCAAAATTTCAAAAGATTTTCACTGAAATTTCGGTCCTACCAGTGCACCTGATAGAAATAGGCAAACCAATGTGATAAACGTACGTGGCCTGTATGCAAGTAGTGTTAGAAATACTCGATGTTTATTCAAGTGGATTTCCAGAGAAAGCGAACAAATCACGTCTATGAAGTTCTTTCTGCTCTCTCTTACTAGTTACTACTATCACTCATTCAATATTGATCTTATTAGTTACTAGTTACTACTACAACCCAGTGAAATCGATCATTTCCGTACTCTCTTGTCTTCCCACAAAAATCAAACAAATCATAGCTTAAGTTCAATAACAAAATCATTTCTCTCCTTGAGAGTGAAAGTGTGGTGCATCTATATCTCCTGACACCTCCCATGCCTAACAAGTGATTTTGGCTGATGAACGAGCTATAGCCAAGAAAAATGATTCGGAAGAGGACAAAAACATGCGAGTAAAATGGCTGATCAGCTTGGTGTAGTTCAGGTATAAAATGACAGATGAGCCAAGAGCAGAGAGGTGTGAAGACAAGTGACGCATTTGGCAAGTATCAATACGCAATATATACTCCTGTACTACACAGGGAAAAGCAGCCTAGTATGTTTAGTCCATGTTCAACGCGTGGCTCTGGCCTATGGTCTCACGCCTTCACGTCGGACGCACGCACCCGTGGCAGTGGGGACCGTGGCTCTGCAATCTGTTTCCGTGCTTGCAGAATAACCGTGGCTTAGGTCGACATACTTTTTTCCCCAAAAACAGTCGGCTTTTCTAACCACCCCATTTAACACTGTATTGCTCAGATTAAAACAGATCCAACCACATTACCAGGTGTTAAAACACTCAAAACAACATAAAGCTAGAAAAAGGCAAAGAACTCTAGCAAACTAGCAACTTGGCAACACCGAAACTGAAAACCATTAAATTGATTGTGCACACTCAATGAAAAAAAATTGCACCAGAAAGAGCAAATATTACACTGCATCAGTGCTGCACTGCTGCATACAGTGCCAGAGACGACGTCCCAGAACTTGTACTTCACTATGCACTTGAGGATGCCAAGGATCTTGCATCTTAGCGTGTCCCAGTGCCTCCCAATCCCATGCAATGCAGAGCTGGTTACACCAACAGTTAGGCAAACGAATGAACTGGCAAAATGAAAAGGTTGTATTGTGAACTTAATTGTGACTGATCTTGTCATCTCTGCTGGTGAAGACGATATATATCTACGTACCGATCACCTGAACCTGAAATCGATGCATCTACTTCTCTATTCGCTAGCTAAGTTTACTTTAATCATTGTTTGATGAAAAGGCCAGTTTCAGAAACCTCCATCACGGAATTTAGATTTGGCTCCCAAACTTATTCAAGATCGAGTTGGATTTACAACTAACTAAGCAGTAGCCTAGCACTCGCAGCATGCAGAGATGAGAAAATTAGGGAAAAAAATGAGACTTGTAATAAGGGCAGAGAGGTGTGAACTGTGAAGGCAAGTGATGCATTTAGCGGGTGTGCCGATCGATGTGGTGGTGTGTACTACTCCATTTTCTGGGTTAAGTGAAGAGAATTAAGAGACTCCGATTCATTCACCTCTGATCAGGCTGCTGGGTAGAGTCCGCTGAGCATGCAGATTAGAGGGGAAACGCTGCTCGCCGGGCGTCCGATGGCAGTGGAAAAATGCGACGCCTCGGACGCCCGCGCCGCCTGCCACTTTAAATTTAAAACGATTTTTCTTTTAAACTAATTATCCAATCTACGATCCGATCACATCGTTATATTCGTTGCAATTAAATCTTTACAACAAGACCACACATGATTATATTTCAAAAAAAATATATTTTAGCTTTTCTATTGATATTTTTTTAATGTTGCATATGATCTCTTTAGATGTTTCAACAAGTAGTTTTACGATATTTCAGCTAGTGTACTTGCGATGTTTCACTATGTACGGATCAAATATTGCAGTGGATTTTGATATTATGGAACGCGCCGTTGCAAAAAATCACCCACATATTTTGGAAACCCTTATTAAGGGAATTTGGTTTATTTTTTGTTCCACCAAAAATGTTTCACCTAGGGTACTCACAATGTTTCACTATGTATAGATCTAATTTGACAGTGAACTGAAATATTCCATTGCAACAAAAAACCCACATATTTTTGGAAACCCCCTATTAAGGGAATTCGTTTCATTTTTTGTTTCACCGAAAAATATTTCACCTAGTATACTTATAATGTTTCACTATGTATGAATCAAATGTTGCAGTGAACCGAAACATTCTTTCGCTATTTGCTGAAACATTGATTTTATATAAGGTGAAACAACCCCCGATTTAAACGAGTGAAATATTTTCGATCTATTTAATGAAACAATTCCGATATACCTGGTGGAACATCGCGCAACATTTAAAAGTAATTCAATAATAAGCTAAAAAAAAATTTCGTCGGAATATATCCATGTGTGGTCTTGTTTTGAAGATTTAATTGCAACGAATTTAATGGTGTAATCGAATCATGATTTGGATAAGTAATTTAAGAGAAAAATCAGTTTAAAGTAGTTTTCGCACGTAAATCGGACGCTGACGTCATGCTGACGTCAGCGTTCGATTTTTCCCCAAACATCAGAAGTCCGAGCCAGAGTTGCCTCCAGATTAGAGTTAAGATTATTGAGTCCTTGTATGCTTAAGTTTAGTCATGGGGAAGAATTTTCGGACTCTATACGTGTTTTTGAAAACGAAAAGTGGCGATCGGAATTTTTTTTGGAAACTTTAGAAAACAGAAATGAATATGGTAAGGCTACTATCCGTCGGAAACCAGAATGCAACGGAAACTTTGCATAAATGAATTCAGAAACTTTTCAAAAAAGAATTCAGATATTTTTTTCTCAAAATAAAAAAAACGAAGTAATTCTCATATATATATAGTTGATTAGTTTTAGCCTTCCCTACTCTGAATGTTCAGATTTATAGTATGCATTAACGTGCTTAATTAAATGAAGATATTTTTTCTTGTCCAATGCTTTATATCTATTTTATTTTTTCTTAATGACTATTTTTATTTTTACCAGGTCCTACCATACTATTTACAATCGTAGTTATAGATAAATATAGTTCTTTTTCTTAAAAGAAAGTGAGGGGTACAACTAATTGTATTATTATTAATTGATAAAAATTAGAAATGTCAATTTATTATTTTAGAAATAAATATCGAGCTACATATCTTCGTTGATTCGAGAAGTTAAGTTTAAGAGGTTTTTATATTCCGATAAATATCCGTTACCGTATTTGCTCCGTTTTTGTGTTCGACGATTTTATTTTCTTATCCAGGATTTCTGATTCCGATTCCGAAATAATATGGAAACTGAAACGATAGATGTGGTTTCCGTACGTTTCCGAGCCCTTTTCATTCCTTGTCATGGATGCCTTTAAAATTAGTTACTTGACAAGCTAATCCTCTTTGGCATTGCCTTGATCAGTGAACATTTTATAGCGGCACATATTTTAGACAAATTTTTATACCCATCACACAAGAAAAGTTCTCCGAAAATATTTGCTATATTTTGGAGTCGAGTTTTTATTTTATTTTTCCTTTTGTCTACACGCGTGGTGAACATTCTCCAGCTCCGATTCCCGTTTATATCTCACTATGTATGAAGTTGTGCATGTATGCAACTTCATAACTGGTTTGTATCTCACCAAGCATCGCTTCTTGCATCTTTCTTGTAGGCGGCAATTGCTACACATGCTGGCGCCGATCAGCTACAAGTAACAATTAAGTAGGTATTAATATTCTCATAGCCAACCAAAGGTGCTAATCTCCTGAAACAACTCTAGACGATGCTCTAGTTTTGACGTCGTATCTCTGCATCCGTGCTGCAAAGAGTTGGCGAAGATCAGGAAATCCCTGAACTACTTCTTCGTGGTGAACTTGCGGAATCCAACGAATCGGCATTCTTACATGTCCAGGTACCTCCCAATCCCATGTAGAGCTATAGTTACCGACTAAATAGGCCAACGAATGAACTGACAAAATGAAAGAGTTGTGATTGATCCCCACCTGACTCAAAGGTTGCCCTTTTGTGCAACAGATTTGGGAGAGGGTTCTACGTAGGCTAACTACAATAAAATTGACCTGACACATGATAATAAACCGTTGCTGGACAGGTCGATCAGGAGAACATCTTAAGATGGGAAAGACAAAACCAAAATAGTAAAATCAATCCACATGCTGGTAGTATGAGAAATATAGTGTGAGCGGAACAGGTGAGTGTTTTGGAATCAAGAAAAAAACCATGCCGCAATCGTTGGCCAAGATACAAGATGAAATCAAGCTATGGAACATGTGGACAAAAAAAACATCATGAGATTATTGGCCTAAGACTCATTTATTGATTAGTGATTTTTTTTCTTCTTTTCTTTTATTCCCTTTTTCCTTTTTCTTGTTTCATCGTTGATCATTTAAATACTTTTTCCCCTACTTACACCAGCTTAGCCTGGCTTCAGTTTCAAATAAAAATAAATTATATACATCTTTGTGTAGCAGGAAGTGTGATGTCATGTCTCGTGTCACGAGCGCAGACGTGGACGTAATTGAACGCCTTGTGTTGGGTTTTTTTCAACACGTAGTATCTTGCATCGTGAGAGAGCAACAGATGAAAGTATCGATTACAACCGTTTAAAAATCGTGCTAAAAAATATGTATCTTATTGAGAAATTAACTTAGCTTCATCTAAATGTCTCCATCTCTAAACGCTCGATCTCCTTTGCATCTTTCCTGTAGGAAGCAGCTACTACACATGTTGGCGCCTCAGCTACAAGAAACAATTAAAGTAGATCACTATTTTTTCACAGCCACACAAAGGTGCTAACCACCTGGGACAACTACAACCTGCTCTGGTATTAGCGACGCATCACTGCATCAATTCTGCATACAGTGGCCGAGCGGAAATCCCTGAACTACTTCTTCCTGATAGACTTGCGGAATCCAACGAACCATCATTCTTAAATGTCCCGGTACATCCCAATCCCATGCAGAGCTATAGTTAACAACAATTAGGCCAACGAATGAACTGACAAAATGAAAGAGTTGTGAACTTAATTAGTTGTGATTGATCTTCTCGTCGTCTGCTGGTGAAGATATGTCTGCGAATCACCTAAATTGGCTAGGTTTACTTACAATTATTGTGGGATGAAAAGGGCCAGTCAGAAACATCCAACTCGATCGAAGTTCAGATATATATCTCCAAAACTTATTCAGGACTCAAGTTGAATTTACAGCTAACCATTATAGCTTATTAATTAGCACTTGCAGCTAGCATGCAGTGATGGCGAAATGAGAAGATAAAATTAGGCTTGTAATAAGGGATAGGTGAGGGCAAGAACAGGAGAGGGTGTGTCCGTTTGTGTGTGAACTGTCAAGAAAGCGTAGTGAAAGTTCAGAGCAGAGAAAAGAGCAGGTTAATTGCGAGGACCCAATGAACCAGCCTGTAAGCATTTAATTATAGCAAGGGTGGATGGTGTTTATGTAGTATTGGGGATACTGATCAGTATCATATACTCCATCCACTCATAAATACTTGATATTTAGAACAAACTTTGGTCAAAATTTTGAATCTTTGACCACCAATTTTGTATTAGAAATTATAACAGCTATTTGATATTGTGATAACTTTTGAAGGCAATGACCTTTTTTTTTTTTGCTTTTTGAAAACAGAGATTTGAGAAACTATTGATGGTACTAAAGAAAGGCACAAAACGCAATGGCATTTTTGTAGAAGCGATTTTCAAATTGCCTATAAAATCTAGAGTTGTATAGACTAGTATAGAGATATTTTTTAAGGCAATATTAAAATCGTCTAGATACTTTTACTCTAAAGTGTCTTTAGAAATGCTTTTAGCATATTTTGTTAAAATTTATCATGTATAGACATCTTTTTGGCACTTCAAAATTTGCATCATCTGTAAAGGTATTTTTTTGAGGCATTTAAATCTCTAAGCAATGGTAATTAAGACTCCGGGAAAAAATAGGGATGTCCTCTATGTTACCAATAATATGTAGAAGTATAAATATAATTTCATATTCATTCGATCTGAATGCTACATGAATAACATAAGCTAGATGACGAAACACGGAGACCTAGTATGTAGAAGATTATAACATGAACAACTCGGTAGATTTGGATTCCATTCCTATATATCCACTCATGTGGTACTTCATCATACAATTCATCTAAGATACATTTGGCACCTTTTTTAATATTAATATAATACTAAGTGACTAGATATAAGTAGCACAACTCATATATTTACAAGTAACGATACGAGGTTGATATTGTTAGTGCATTGAATATAAAATATAATCAACTCAGGGGGTGTTTAGATACAGTGGTGTAAAGTTTTGGCGTGTCACATCAGGTATTATATAGGGTGTCGCATGGGGTGTTCAGGCACTAATAAAAAAATTAATTACAGTATCCATTAGTAAACCGCAAGATGAAATTATTAAGCCTAATTAATCCATCATTAGTACATGTTTACTGTAGCACTACATTGTCAAATCATGGAGCAATTAGGCTTTAAAGATTTGTCTCGCAAAATAGTCGCAATCTTTGCAATTAGTTATTTTTTAGCCTATATTTAATACTTCATGTAGGTGTTCAAACGTTTGATGTGACAGGTTATAAAATTTGAGGGTGGGATCTAAGCAGGCCCTCAATAGGTTGTGTAAGATGGGTAGATAGTGACTACTGAGTAGTGAGTACTGACTTAGCTTGCTACCCGGGTGGTTCAGGCTTAAAATGATGGGAATAAAGATCGTATGAGAAGAGGAGAAATGAACAGAAGTGATGCCTTTTGAGTACACTTCTATCACCACAAGGGAGTACTCTCTATCCCACAAAGATTTCATTTATTTCCCTTCTTAATTTATTTGTCCCACAAATACTTCATATTTAAAGCAATTATGATGTATTAGAGTTTGAAAAAGTAAGGGACTGAAATGTTAAGGATAAGAGAAAATCTCTTGTGTACCTCTGAAAGTTCACCTAATCCCTTCTGTACCCCTGAATTTTGCTCAATCCCTTATATACCCCTAAATTTTAGTTTGGATCCCTTCCATGCCCTTTCCTCTAGTTGACCGTTAGTTGACCGTTAAATTCTTATGAAAAAGTCTATTTTGCCCTTTGGTATAAAGAAGCATATATATAAATTAATAGAGTATATTGTTGCAGCATAGAAATTTGTTATATGAGACTATTATGTTTATGAGATAGTTATGCACCATATTATTTACGATAAATATACTTGTATATATGACATAAAAAATTAATACTTATTTATTAAGTTATTAAAAGATTTTTTTTAGCATATGTGTTCTGATAGTAATAAACAAATTTGTTGTATTACTATGAAAACACATATGCTACATAAAAGAACTTTTAATAACTAATAAATAAGTATTAACTTTTTATATCATATGTAAAAATAAACTTGTCACAAATAATATGGTGCATCACATATTCATAAATATAATAATCCCATCCGATAAATTTTTATATTCCAACAATTTACTTCATTAATTTATTATGTTTCTTCATAGCAAAGGGCAAAATGGACTTTTTCAAAAGAATTTAACGGTCAACTAACGGTCAACTAGCGGAAATGGCATGGAAGGGATCCAAACTAAAATTCAGGGGTATGTAGGGGATTGAACAAAATTCAGGGATATAGAAGGGATTAGGTGAACTTTTATGGGTACATAGGGGATTTTCTCTAAGGATAAGTGTGTGTCTAGCTAGGGTAGTATGATAATTACCCTTTAGCCATGTGTTGCGAACAATATATATTTTTCTCTTTGATGCATCACAGTTCAAGAGTTCAATCTCCAATTTCCAATCTCTTCTTTCTTGTAACATGACACTGCTTTAGGTCGTAGTAGAGTATACGATTCTCATATCCAAGTTCTCATAGATACAAGCTTTGGAGCAGCATCGCGATTAGCTTCTCCCAGGTATCTCTTATATATGTAGTTGTAATTGATAACTTGCTTCTGACCTCTATGTTGAAACAAAGTAATAATCTTGATGCCTCACTCCTAGAGGATAAGACCTTTCTCGCTTCAGAAGGCGAAGTAGAGCTACTAACTCCATTACATCATGCTACTATCCCAAGTGAAGCATCTTTGAATGTCCCAATACCTCCCATTCCAAAATAATCATCATGCCAATACGGTAGTAATTAATTAAAACAAAGGCTAAACCACACATCTAAATGTAGTTTTGGTCATCATGGGGAGGAGAGAGGATTCAGCAATAACGGTGCAGAGACATGGACAATTCACTGTGGTTCAAACAAGGAAAGAACCGAAGAAGTGAATCTAGTACGTAGATGAAGACTTAGAAGAGGTTAAAGAGCCAGAGTTTTCTGAACTATGAACTCTAAAGAGGGGTAGTACATGAGAGCAAAAGACTAGTAGGAGTAAATTCACAAAAAGAAAAAAAAAACAAAGGAGCTAGACTGGGAGTCCAGATATCTAGCAACAGTAGACTCACTAAACTGAATGTTGAAAGCCGGTATGACATGTGCTAGCAATTAATCTTTGGTGAACAAACAAATTGGCAGTTATTCACCACGAGAAATGTGGAACAAGTGCTTCAGCAGCCGAAATAGAAATTTCACTTGCAATCTCTCATCACAACACAACGCCTTTGTAATCTATCACAGTTCTTGACAACAAACCATTTTAACAAATTAATGACCATAGTTTTTTCAGCTAATCCGGCAACGGAAAACCAGCAGTGCAGGGCTCTTACCAACACATCGGACTCGGACCAAATTACTGTCCTTCAATTCTCTTCTTCCATGATAACCGGCGTACTATCAGGTCGCCGAGATCGTGCAAGGTGAGTCTTCACAACCATTTTCCCTTTGTCGATCGAGCCACCATCCTTCCATGGATGACACAACTCCGGCGAAGGGGCGGCGAAACCAGCACGATGCCCGCCATGGTTCACGAAGAGCTCGTCCATATACTGATTATTTCCACATTTGACCCTCACTTTATAAAAACATTTCGTAAGTAGCGTACCACGTTTCTCGACCCCGTTCTTTGATCCAATGGACCAGGGAACTTTGTGACTATGGTTCCATCCCTGCACGTCCCAACACCTCCCATACCGAACCAGCTGATTAGGACACAACAACAAAGAAGCTCACCAATGGTAGAACTAGAACATCACGATGATGTCCATGCATACGGATAAACGTCCTCATATGTATACAATGTGAGATGCAAATCATGAATATGCATGCGTGTAAATCACACTACATTCAGTATTGTGGTGTTCTTTATGATGGAAGCATGGATGCAAGAGTTGTTCAGCAGCCACATTTAAGCCATTGAGAAGGGAATCT